CCCCAGGGGAGAGCTAGCTCTCTTACGGTCGTTCCGCCAATTGTGACCGAAATCTACGCGACGCCGCTACGATATCTTGAGGAATTATTGTCTGCCCTGGGGGGAAGCTTAAATGTCGCGGTTGTCATCCATCATCCTGGCCTATTCGAGTCGAACAATTCTCGTGCTAGTATATCCCGGAGAATCGTTGAGCTTCGTCGATGAGCGGCAATGATATTCCCCGCGGAGTAAATAGAGTTATCGGTGGCGTGCAGCAGCCGGCTCGGCGGAGGCCAACCAATCGTCGAATCGATTAAACAGAAGTCGCGTAAAAGCGCAAAAGTAATTCAGTGGACGAGGGCAACACCGGGGGAACTGTTCGCTGTTTTTATTTCGTTCTTCTTCCCTCCCCCGAATGAACGAGGCGGAATAAAATCGGGCGATCTTACTTCAGTTTCGAGAAGTCGTAAAGAGAATGATCGAATGGAAAATGATTGGATCTTAAGCGACAATTCCTCGATTCCAGCGACGTGGACGGAATTGTGAATCATAATTGGATTTATACGACTGCGTTTTACTGGCATCGTAACTGGCTCTTGATTTTTATCGGCAAGTAAATGAAAAAGTAAGGCTGGATTAAAAGGGAGACAAATACGACGGATGAAACAGATTTTCTGGAATAGGTGACCTACATGTTAACGTCTTTGTACGTTTATTCGTTGAAGATCTATTTATTCAAGGATGCAGCAGAAATTTGTTCATCATCTTCCGTATGTTTGGTTACTGTAAACGTCTAAATAAGACAGTTTGGAGGCTTCCTTTGTGCCGCGAAGTATTTCCGATGAAAGGTAAAATTTCATTCGAGGTTTACATGGAACAATAAAGGGATATTTTCAGCACCAAGCAAGAAGTAATCAAAATGAAATAACTGGGACATTATATCTCTCGGTAATTTCAAATAATGAGTCTGGTATCGGAGATGGAAGAATTACGTGGAATTTTCATTGAATACCGGCGATAATTTCATCCAGTTCTATACAAGGTGTTACACATTTCGAATTGCATCCTAAAAGATACCATCGGGATCGTTCGATCAAACAATTTACTTCAATTAAATTAAGAGAAAACGCTAAGCAAAAGCTCCAAATTTAACCTCTTCACTCTATCTATAATTAACGTTGTTGCCTCGCAAGAAATCGCGACGAACCCTCGGTTTGGCAGATTATCGTCATAAACTTGTTCAATTACACTTGGCCTCCAGACCGAGGTACCGGTCCTCTCGCGCGTACCGTACCTCCCGTGGAGACGTCACGTGCGCGGTGGAAAGTCACGCGGCAAGCCCTGGGAAAAACCCAAAAATGGGGGTTTTCTAATGTTAAGCAACAATCCCCTTCCCTTGGAAAGAGCTGCGTCCCACCTAAACAACCTCCTCCAATGAGGAGTCAGCACCTACAGCCCCCAGAAGAAATCGGCCACCAATCAGCAACTGGCCCCGAGCGGATAAAACTAAGGAAACGAGGCAGAAGCGCGTCCTTTTTTGGAAGTCTTAGCAGTTGGTCTTGCGAAAATTAGTATTTTGATAGTCTGTTGCAAATAAAACTAGTTCTTAGCATTTCACACTGAATAAATCAAGGTGTGATTAAACTCGCGTACCGGTTCGGCAATTAAGCATTCGAACATTACGCGACCCGAACAAACGTTTTCCCGGGAAATGAATTCCTTTGAACGTTCCTTCCTTTAGGGACTTTCTGCCGGTTTTCAAATTACTTCCAACCTGTAAAGGGAACGGATGCTGCACGCATCGATTACATCTGACGCACAGTGGAATTAAAAGAATCAACGGGACCACCGACCACGGTTCGATTAAAAGTTATCAGGTCAGAAGTCGATCGAGGGCCGATCATCGCGATCGTAGAATTTCGAAATGGAAACGCACGGTGAAGGGAGGACACAAGCACACGGCGGAGTGTGGAGTATATGAAGTTCAAGAGAGTTCCATCGTATATTTCGCGAATGAACCCCTCGACAAAGCGTGATGGATTTTTAAACGTGCCCCCGATATTTCCGCTCGATCATTTTCCGATCCAATAAACAGCGACGCGATATCATGCCGCAACGAGAAAATGAGCTGGCGCAACTGTTTTTTTTTTTTCTTTTTACCTGAATGGAATCCTTGCCAGCCTCTCGTAAAATATTCCTCGGTTGCGTGTAACCGGGCCCGTTGCTGTACAATAACGTTGTATACGGTTTTCCATCAACATCCGACACCTTGCTGTCAGAGCCTGAAACAAAAAGAACACGCGATTAACTCATCAATCAGAAGGGTATTACCGAGCGTTGTACATTGAACAGCGACGATTAAAAGAAGTTTCGGAGTTGGGGTATCATTAAGTTGTTATTTCGTGAAAAACTGCACGCAGTTGCAGATGGTAGAGAGAACAATAAGACATCACCGGGTTTTTATCGGGGCTCTTTACCCCGAACACTCTAACGATGTTGTTCGCCGGATGGTGATTAGGTGTAATTCTGTTTTGTGAGTGATGAATAACGAATGAGCTGGTAATGATTAAGTGTATGAACAACGCAGAGTTGCTTACTTAATAAGTAAAATAACGTGCGTGTTTATGTTTGTTATTCTAGGAAAGCATTGGATCGAGTTGTAAATGACGTTTACTTGTTTTTTCTTTAATTTAAATGTTTAGCATTATTAGTGATAAATTTTTGATGTCTATCCAGCAGCTTATCAATTCTCTTAACACGTATCTCAGAAGATTTGGTATTGAAATTTCACGAAGTTTGAATTCACGTATCTCATTCAATACACTTTGCAAAAAAGTAAACATTCGTGTAATCTCGCGCGGAGGTAGAACATTTTCCCCAAATTTTTTCTGGTATCAATGCTTTCTCTTATTCAAGAGTTACAGGTGAATAATGTACCAGTAATCTCACTATACACACAACAAAAGCTACGCGTTTAATACATCTCTCCTTCAACCAAAAATCTCTGATAATCTCCATTTTCATTCGTGACTCGAATAGAAACAAAGGGTTCCGTCAAATTTCCCAACAATCTCATCCTCGCATTCTAACCACAAGATTCTACAAAGCATTCACCAAACATTCCAAACATTTTCCACCGTGGGGATTCAGAAAGCAAGATTCTACGAATACTTTGAGCTCGCGTCCCCTCTCTGGCGAAGAATATTTTCGAATCTCGCTAATACCGTAAGCGTTTCTCATTCATAACCGTGTCAGACGCGCAGAAGAAGCAACCGAACAGGTGAAAGCAGAGGGAGAACCGTTGAAAAAATGAAAGAGGCTCCTCGGTTTAACAAACTCGACTGGCAAAGGAGGAACGAGAAACCGTTCCGAAGGGGAAACGAAAGAACGAGGAACGCTTTCGCGTTTGCTTGCAACGCTGAAACATTCTGAACGTTTCTGGCATCGAATATTCTTAAACATTTTAATCATCCGCCGCGACGAGCGGCAAAAAGAATTCCCCATCGCGAATTCCACCGGTGCGCGATCGTGTGTCGAACAGAGCGCTGCTTAAATTCCTGTCCCCCCCGTGAAAAGCTGCATTGCTGTCTGTGAAACATTAATTGCTGGAAAAGTCCAGGGGTGCTATTTCATGAATAAGTGGTTGTTTAGCTGCAGGCGAAAAAGGGGGGCAGGAAAAGGAGAGAAGAAGACGTAGAAGAACCGGAAGAACGAACTCCTAGAAATGGCCGCTGGTGGATATGTTTTATTCAAAAGTGTGCTATTCGCGCGGGAACCTTCGAAAAAATACTCCGCCACACCGCGCCGTTTCACGCTGTATGTCGTTTAACAATGTATAATTTAATCGTTCATTTGCCGTGCAAATGTAACGTTCATATTAAACGTCGCTGCTGTTTCCACCCGTTTAAAGGTCTTGAGAACTTCCGCCGCCCATCGACTACCCCTGGGCTGTATGCATACAAGATGTTCCGGAATTATAAACACGAGGTTAGCCGGCTAATGTTATCCGGCGAAAGGAACGAACTGCAGGTGTATTTATACGAATTTTATTATTCACTCCGAAAGTCGTTCCTTGCTTGTTGAATAATTGACCTCACTTCTGTCTAATTGAGAAATTATACATTCGCAAAATAACTACCCCTTTTCACGCTTGCAGGCCATTCGCGGGAAATTAATTAACTGCCGACCAAAAATTCTTTATAATTTCTAAATTAAAGTTGCGGAGATCAGTCGCAATCTGTCTAAACTAAAAGACAATTCTTGGAATCGCCAACATTTTTCTGCAGATTTTTGTATAACTTGCAAAAACGCGTTTAAAGTTTCGCTACAGTTCAGCGTTTCTAGCGGTGCACCGTTTCCTTGGAATCGTTGTAACTTTGTCGTTTCGTCGATTTCGGGCGTACAATTTTAGCAACACATTTTCACAATGTTAGACCTTTGGAAAATGCAATTAAAAAATCGATTTTTTGGGGTGTTACATTGGTTTATCGAATGTTGAGCGTGCAATTGTTCGTTCGATAGGATCGAAATAATGGTTGGCTAGAGAGATGGTCGAAACGGCGGCGGGCGACATACGTCACCTCGCGTTCATTTCACTCGAGGTAATCTTTATTAATCGTCCTTTTAAACAACACTCTTCGGGGCCAATTGTTCGAACAGAGCCGGAATAAAGCGGAGAACGTGCGCTTTAAAATAGTCTATTCGTGAATTCTTCTTTATCCACCCTGGGCTAAATGGGCCATGGTTAGTTTAAACTGCTCGTTATTTAATTATGCACAATTAGTCCGTTTACCTACACGGCATAGGCGCGCTATTCAGCCGAAATAAAATTGACTTTGAAACGCTGGGGAGCTTTTCTTTGAACTCTGCGCTCCTTTCTTTCCCGCGCGTAATGGTTCGTTCGCTGAATATTGAAAAACCATTATATATACTTCACCTTCGACGTTGTAAATGTAACGCGGTACAATGGTTTGATATATTAATACCGTGCCACTGGAGTAATTTTTTTTTTCTTTTTCACGGGGGGGAAAAAAAAAGAAGGAACATATCAGTTTTACGGTGTACGTGTATGTGTCGATAAAAAAATTTGTGCGCTGTTTATACGAACGTTTTACGTGTAAATAACCTCCCATTTCGCGATAATGGAATATACTCCGGCAAGTACTCTGTCAACATGGCAAATTTTAACAAATTGTTTTAGTATGAATCGCTGCCTTGCACCACGAAACAATACGATTGCTCGACGTGACAAAATATTTGTATTAGAATGTACTATATCATCAATGTTTTCGCTGGACAAGTACGGGTTAATAAATAAGGATAATAGTTGGAAAAACAAGACATCTTGGAACACCTTTTAACCCTTTCACTGCTGTTCACACCTGTGGACGCTGTGAAAATGTGCTCACATTGTGCCTATAGACGTTTCATTTTTCTCTTCACATACTTCCAGCCTGATGTGAAAAGAATTTGTTTTCAAAATTTCCGAAAATACTTTCCATTTTCATTTGAAAACGCCGAAAAGATTTTAACGGCTAATGTCGAATATCTATCGTCTGCCGCGCGTGTCGGGTTAAGGTAGGTAAAGGTAGGGTTAAAATCGAATTTCCATATGGAAACAACGAAGCAAATATTTCTCGGTATTTTCACTTTCAAATCTCGAGACGTGTTCAACGCGGCATTTAAAAATCCCGGAATAGGATAGAAACGTTCATAGCTCGTACTCTACAGCGACTAACTTTCTGCATCGTATCTCTTTTATCGGTCAAATTAAACGGCAGGATTCGTCGTTGGAATTAAGAGCTCCGAAGCCATCTCGATGCCACCTCGACGAGGGAGAGTATCTCCCATAGCGTCGACGTCTTGTAAATTGAAGAGCCTATTCTGGATGATTGGACTCGTCTCTCCTTACGCAGACATTCTACCAATGAAAACACAATTTCCCCGCGAATACCGCCAGGGATGAACATTTCCCAGCTTCGTCCCTCCTTACATGGAAATTAATTAAGTCAATCGGCATTTCGCGATTGACGATGCTGAAATTCGCGATGTTGCTCTTTCTCTCGATTTAATCGTAGAGCTCGTTTACCGTCCCGGGAATATAACTGGGAATTTTCATTGAACAGTTCGACAGAGGTGTAGGGACACAACGATTCGAGGATCATTGAAAATAGTGCATAAATTGCGAAAGTGTTTTAGTTGCTTCGCGCTCCCCCTCCTTTAAATTGTGCCCCACAGCGTTGGATGGAAGTTTAATGAAAGAACGAAATACCTTCTAGCTCTTAGATGCCCCATTTAAATACATTAGCGTTCGCGAGGGTTGAAACTAATTTCTACTTCGTGATCTCAGAGATCCATAGACCCACGACACGTTCGCTTATAATTAAAAGTTTCAGAAAATAGCCGGGAATTTTTCGACGTTAGAAAAAGTGATCGTCACGAGTATGAAAGTTTCAGAGAGGAGAAGGATTCTTCAACAACACGGTATTTAATATCTCAGGTTTTTTCTGTATTATAATATTCCTCCACTCTTGTAACAACGTTTTGATATATTAATTTTCGTTCGAAATTTCAATACGTCGTTGTTTGATCCATTGAGAGATCCAATTTTATACCATTCATATTCATTTCTTGGTCATGTTCTGATTTTACCGGGATTTAATTTAACATCCCGTGTTATTATTAACGAAAGAGGGAAGCCAAGGAGCTTTCGGAAATTTAGGAATAATTTATGTTATAAAAAAAATTGATTTTTATTATTGGTTGCTCGAGCACGTCGTATATTTGCAATTGAGTTAAGTGTATGTAGACTGAGTTAAACTGGAGCTTGTTTTACATCTGCAACTACAATTATTGCTGTATCTGCGGGTACTGAAGTGTAATATCAGACGATTAGCAATTTATCGAGAAATAAAATTGAATTTTACGATCATTAGGATTTATTACGAAAAGAACTGGACGACTAACTGATATTACATTACGTTGTTGCACATGAAATGGCTAATTTGAGAATTTCGTTTTTAAACATCCTACCAATTAGAATTTATCAACTTATTGTAAATAAATCAATTTAAAACTCGAAGTTAGCCCAAATTCGTTAATTATTTTATCGGTAAGCAGCAGATTGCGTACGAAAGTAAACCATAGAGACGAAGATCAAATTCCACTGATCACTTTTCAATTAGACAAAAATTTATTTCGTCCAAAAATAAGTTGTCAAATTATTTTTTTTCTTAGGGAAAGGTTGATTCTACTTCGATTAATAAATATTTA